TAACACAAGCTCTGCAACCTGCCATGCTCCAGGCCCTAAGGAAGAGCTGGATATCCTCACATTCATCCAAGCTGAGGCAGTATTCCCATTTCTCAGACTCTCTGTTCAGCTTCCAGGACTCACGTCAGGAAATCGATGGCTGTTCCCACATACAAATTCCCAAGGTAGCACTGTTCCTCTCCCCCCTCCTCCTTTACCCGTTTTATAGCAATAGCCCTGCCTAGGACTCAAAAGGAGCCTCCCAGGTGCCTCCTGAGACAGAAATCGTTCCAGGTGGGTCAGGAAATAAAGATAAATAAACTCGTCCCTTTGGGGATAAGAAATTGTCTTCCTCCCCATTTTCCCTATTCTCTCCTGTTTCTTGTTCCTAAGGCAAAACACACAGATCAGGTGGGCTCAGGGGGGGAATGTTAAGTCCAAAACCAAGCAAAACTTGTTTTCCCCTCGGTTTCCATCAGGACTGTTCAGTTTTCCCCACTGACCCTCGGCCGTAGCCGCAGGAGCAGCTTCTCTCTGCGCCCCAMGGCAGTGGGGACAGGGACACCCAGCCCGCTGCTTCCCGGGAAACGCAGCTCAGCCCATCCCATAACACCTTGTCATGGCAGCTGGGAACGCGGCACGAGATATGTTCCGTGAAACTCGATCCCAGAGAGCCTCAAGTCCCGGGACAAACTCGTCCCCCACAGCACTTGGGTCCCAGCCATCGGTGCCAAAAGGACGCGCGTCCCCCGCGGGTCCCACCCGACCCAGGTGACGCCCGCGCCGCGCTCTCTTCCCTTCGCTCACCTGCGGCCACCGTTCGCTCCTTCCCAGCGCTGCCGCCCGAGCCAAGCGGATTTTCGCCATCGCTGGCTCAGGACAGCTCGTTCCTGGCTCAGCTGCCCCGGCACGGCAGGAGCAGGGCGGCAGCAGGACAGCGAGCTCCGTGCTGCGCCCCGCGGGAAGTGGGCAGAGCAGAACCGCAGCCTCCGGTGCCGCACCTGAGCCGGGGCTCCGCCCTGCCGGACCGTCTGCGCCGCCGCCGTGCCGCCCCTTCCGAGGGCAGCAGCTGTGTAGAGCTGGGACAATGACACAAAAATGTAAAGAAACTCTGAGCCATGCTGTGATCAGACCCCATAGGGGTGGTTTATTGGAAGTGCCAGATAGGAATAACAGGAATCGCTGCATTCCCTGGCCCTTAGCTTGGTCCCACCTGCCSACACCACTGCCCTTGGGAAGTGCTGCTCTTCCCAGCTGGAAAGCCAAAAAACACTTTTCCCTTTGTCTCTTAAAACTCTCCTCTGAAAACCTCCATTCTGCCTTGTTTCTCCTCCAACAGTGTCCTTTCTCCTGCCATCTCTCCAGTTCCTCCTCGAGCGTGCAGCTCTGCTGCTCCCTGGCACTTTGGTAACTAATATAATTGATGCTGAGCCTGGCTGGGCCAGCCAGAGTGGCCAGAGGGCTCAGTCCCCAGCTGGCCAAGCTAACGCCACGGCACGCTGCAGCTGCTCGTAGGACMCGAACATCACCACATTCCAGGAGCCCAGCCGCAGGAAGGACGGGACGAAGCTGTGCAGGGAAAAGTGGTGCTGAAGGGTACATGATGGGAACATCCCCATCCCCACATACCCATCCCCATCCCCAGAGCCCAGCACGTGGTTTGGCATATTTGGGGTCCAGTCCTACAGGTCCACGGGGTCATCGCAGGTTTGGGGGTGCTCAGCGGGTGTCCCTGACTCACCCCTTGTAGAGGCCAGCAGGGCCATCCTGCACGAGCAGGGCCAGCAGGCAGCTCAGGACATTGCGGTACTGCCCGGGGCTGGCGTTCATGTAGCGTGTCTTGACCACATCCACTGGCGATGCCACCACTGTGGCACAGAAACCGGCGCCAAAGGCAGCCACGAAGTGGCACGGGAGGTTGTCTAAACGGGGGAGGGGGAAGAGCTGGGGGTTAGGTGCTGCGGGAACAGGGATGRCACCTGGGCACATCCCCCCGTGCCATCCTCACCTGTCATGAGCTGTGCCCGCAGCAGCGCTTCCTTGAGGAGGTCGTAGGTGACGAGCTCCCCGCAGTTGATGATGACATTGCGGGCGATGTTGGGCAGCATCCCTGGGCAGAGGGCGGTGGCAGTGGAAATGCTGGTCCAGTCCTGGAGCACTCTGGGCAGCTGCCCCAGCCCTGCTGTCCCCATCCCTCTTCCCCATTTCTATTCCCGCCCCACCCCTTTCCCACGCCCATCCCTGCCCGCTCCTACCTCTCCAGAGCCCGCGGATGCCCTCCTCCCTGGCGATGGTGCGAGAGGCATACACGGTGCCGCTGTAGCAGCGGGCACCGCCCGACAGTGCCCTGCTGGCCTGGAACCGGACCTTGACTACGTCGGTGGGCTGGGCACAGGCCACGGCCACAGCCCCCGTGGTGCAGCCAGCCAGGAGTCGTGCAGCCAGGCTTGTGTCTGGATGGGGCAGATATTGAGACTCTTGTGCCTGCAGGGATGCCCCACAAGTGAGTGGCCTGTGGTCCTTCAAAGAGGGTCATCTCGGGGTTGTGCCCACCAGGGTGAGTTTCTCCCTCTGGGAGAGGGCTGTACATCGGGAAGGGGTGCACAGGGGTGTCTGGGCTTTGTGGACACTCACGCTCAGCACTCTTAGGGGTGTAGAACTCCTTCACAGAATCATACAGCCCGATGCTGATGGAGCTGAAGCCCATCTGGCGCTGCAGCCCAGCCACCAGCCCGCTGTAGAGGCTGCAGGCTCCCTCCATCCTCACCACGGTGCTCAGTGTCCCCAAAACACCCCGGTACTCCCCAGAGTTGGTGGTCTTGGGGATCTTCACCTCACCTTGTATCTGTGGGGTGCCAAGCATGTCACGCCACCTTCTGCTCTCCCCAGGCGCCACCAATAGAGCTGGCATGGGGAGTCCCACCTTGTGTCACAGGCCTCTGCCCACAAGGTTTTGGGGTGTGGGAGATCGTACCTGCAGCCGCACTTTGGCCGTGTCCAGAGGGAAGGTGAACAGGTCAGCGATGCAGCCGGCCATCCCCGCACTGACAAACTTCATGGTGGCCGTCGGGGGAACCTCAGGGGGCTTCAGACCCACCATGGTGGCAGAGGAGCTGGAAGGAGAGAAGGGCTTTGTGGAGGAGCCGGGATGGTGCATCAGGACAGAGTTTCACGTGGGTGTCCTATTCGCTGGCAGAAGTGATGACGTGCCATGGTGGCTCTTGATGGCTTCAGAAAAACCCAAAAATCTCATCCTTCCCTGTTTCCTCGCTTCTTTCCCAGGGAAACTGAGGCACAGGGCTTGTTCAGCATGGGATTCACCAGTTCCCACCATTCCTTATCCCACCCCAGCCATAACAGGGGTACTGGGTGAGATTATCTCCCCCCGAGTGACCTTCCCCGAGCCGTGTCCCTCCGTGGCCTCACCGTAGGGACCTCGGCACAGTGTCTCAGCTGCTGCCTTGCACAGGCAGTGCCCTGAGCCCTTTCCCTGGCCCCACCCTTTCATAGCACCCAGTGGGTCATGCCAGTGGCCACGGATCCGGTGACAGCAAAACAGTGTTCCCCCGGTGGCATTTGAGCTGATGGAACTGGGTCACCTGGCACCTGGCATGAGGTGGCTGTTTCAGCCCTCTGTCCCCCCCCAGGGCTCAGGCAAGGGGAGGGGGTTCCTGCCCACACCTCCTGCACTGGACTGGGGAGGAATGTCGGTTTTCACCCCMAAACCACTCTGGGAAGGATGAGATGCAGAAAACCTTCACCCCAAGGCTTTACAAGCGAGTGCCCTGGCGGCAGCGCAGCGCCCAGCTCTGTGCAGGGCAGGTCGGATCCCTTTGCCCAGCAGACCACGGGGCCACAATCCATCCCAGAGAGCTGCCCAGCTGCCAGCGGGATTGGCTCTGCCCGGGGGAACGTGTTCCCCAGGCTCACGTGGAGCAGAGCTGGGGAGCACCTTGGGGTGAAATCCACCACCAAAGCTGTGACGCCCTCCGGAGCGTGGCAGAGCCCTGGGGCTGCCGGGAGGGACTGCGAGAGACTCGTTTACCTCATGCCCGAGATAAACCCAGGGGTCAGTGCTGTCACCTCCTCTGTCACAGCCATCCCAGCCCAGCTGGGATCCTACCCGAGTATTTTGGGGCTGCTACCAGGAGAAAGCAGCCTGCACGTCACTGCTGTCCTTCCAGGGGACACGGGGTGCCTTTGCCTTCCATYCCCACCCAGCAAGGGCAGGGAGAAGAACCACAGTCACAGGGCAAGTTGTGCCAGCAGTGACTTACGCACTCAGGCTGTCCCCTGGGAAAAACAACACTGCAGAAGTGGGAGAAAAAAGGGATGCTGATCCTTTGGCTGCTGAAATCCTGAATTCCATGCATGGTYGGAAAAGCAGCTCAGAATGGAAGCCACTCATCCCACATGGGCTGTGCTGCACAGTGATACAGAATTCCTCAGCAAAGCAGTGACCTTTCCACGTGCTCCTGGACATCCCAGCTCCCAGCAGCACTTCTCACACTTGGAAGCTCATGTGGGAGAGATTCCTGTCTCCTGTCGAGGAAAGGTTCCTGCCCTGGCACAGGGACACTTCGCACAGGCTGACGAGAAACCAGGGGAATTTTATTGAAACAAGCACTGAAGGGAGCAGTACAAAAATAACTGAGCTCTGCTGGCATCAAAGTCTGTTCTCTGAAAGGTGTACAAAAATAATATAAACGTCTCCTCTTTCTAGTCACCTCCTTTTGCACACACACCAGATTTTACAGTGCCCTTGGCCTGCGTTCACACAAGCACTTTGGGTACCTGTAGAAACAGAGAATTGTGCTGCCCACCAACCTTTTTTGAAAGCGCCATTTCACAGGAAAAAGTCCTAAAACTGGACTACCTGGAGAGCAGATAACAGGTTGTGGATTACCCACAGGGGTGCTACTCACTGGGGACCTGCCCCTGCAAAATGCAGCTCCCTGTGGGTGACCATAGGCTTTAAGCCCTTCTAAATAGGGGACTTTAATTAATGGACCAATTAGGCAAACTAAAACCAGAGCCTGAAAGCTGTGGCTTCCACCTCCCCTGTGCTGGAGGACTCAGCCTTTGCCATGGCTTAGGAAGCTCTGCTGTGGATTGTCTCTTGCCAACACTATTCCTTCTTGGAGATCTGAGCAGAAAAGATCCTGGCAATTCTTCTGGCTTCTTCTTCCGAGAGGTCAGGGATGGGCCTGGGGAGATTTGGCCTTCTGTAGGGAATGCCTTGGGGCACTGCTGCACTCCTGCTCTGTGGAGAGAAGGGACAAGGTGTGAGAGCTCTGCCCTGAGCTTGGTTTCAGCTCATGGCAAAGCACAGCAGCAGGTGACAAGCTGTATGCACAGAAAAAGAACCCAATGAGAAAGAGAAAGATCCAAAGCCAGGAATGGGGCTCTGGTGTGTGAATTCTCAACTTGTGGGCATCCACCCTCAGCCAAGGTCTCCCTTTATGAAGCCAAAGCAATGGCAGTGGTGTAGACACTTCCAGGGACCTCACCTGAAAGCCTTTTGGCTTTCAATTATTATTTTACTTTATATTTTGCAGAACCCCTGAGACCAAATATCCTCACAGTGGAGAGGAAATGCTCTGTCACAACAAAACTGAGCCAGCTGACAGGACAAGGCAGGGATTTGGTTTAAACTAAGAGAGGAGTGATTTAGATTAGATATTAGGAAGAAATTCTTCCCCATGAGGGTGGTGAGGCCCTGGCACAAGCTGCCCAGAGAAGCTGTGGCTGCCCCTGGATCCCTGCAAGTGTCCAAGGCCAGGTTGGACAGGGCTTGGAGCAACCTGGGGTAGTGGAAGGTGTCCCTGCCCATGGCAGGGGGTTGGAATGAGATGAGCTTTAAGGTCGGTTCCCACCTTAAAATTTTTGGAAAAAAAAGCTTTGGAAGTGATTGACTGGAGAGCAGCTGGCACAGCTGCTGCAGGTGCTTTCAGAGTACTTCCTTTGCAAGAAAGATCTAATGCCTCAAAAGCAAATGGCTCAGCTATCATCTTGAAAACACTTCTAACCCTTTTAAATGCATTATCTTTTCCTTTAAGAGGTGATCTTGATCACTGGGAGTCTCAAAAATGCTTTGCACAAGGGGAACAGTCTCTGCCAAAGACAGTTCAGGTAATTACATCTATTAGCAACTGCAGAGCTCCCTGGGAACAGTCAAATTCAGGCTGCATGGAGCTCTGAGCAACCTGACCTGCTGGAAGCTGGCCCTGCTCATTGCAGGGAGGTTTTTGTGAGTCTCAACCCAAAGTATTCCATTATTCTATGAATATTTCTTTTCCTGTGCTAAACTTAAGGAGACTTCTGCACCAGCATTCAGTCCTTGTAATCACACCTGCTGTCCTTACCCGACTTGGTGCTCTGATGGTAGACAGAGAACACAATGCTGGCAGACTGCAAGAGCTCCCCCAGAGAAGAGGCTTCTCCACTGCTTTTCTGAATGATGAGATGACAAAGAAAGCCCATGTGTTGCTCAAACTCTGGGCAGAAAGTACAGGGCACAACTCTTGTGCTGTGTGTCTGTGCCTGGGGCAGGAAGGGCAGCAGCACACACACGTAAGTGTTCACTCCCACCCCTGAGAAGTACTGCACAGAGGGCTTCTTCTGGGCCACAGCTCTTCACTTCACATGGGAAAAAAGAGAAAAGAAGGAAGAGAATGAATCTAATGTATGAGGAATCTAGGAACCAACATGATAAAGTAAAGCTGAAAAGGTGGGACTAACAGTGAATGAAGTCAAAATGGATGTGGGTTCTGGCTGCATAGCATTTTCATATTTTCTTTCCACCTGAACATACTAGGAACAGATATCAAATGGTGAGAGGAACTCACAAGGTCCCTCACAGGTGGCTGTGCTTTTATCTGAGAAAGTACTCAGCACTTTCAAGAATATACTGTACTGTTGAATAACTTCCCTTAGAACCTGCTCCAGAAAGAAGCCAAAGGCCAAGCCAAATTATTTTTACAGATCAGGACTGACCAGCAAAAGCAGGTGAAATTAACAARYGGAGTAATTTACAAGTAAACCAGACCCAGATATTACTCAGGTCATACACATGAAGGATGAGGAGTSATTCCATTCCCTTGACTTCTCCAAGAACCAGTGATCCTCCTTCAGGGTCTACTTGAATTAAGATAGATCAGGAGCTCACAGCAACACTGAGAGAGGGTCAGACCACAGCTCTAGAATAACAGGAGCCATCCTTCTCTGATGGAATTGACTCCCTCTATTCTAGCCCTTTCCTAACTCTTGAAAATCACATGTTCTGGAACTACGTCCAGCTGATACCATGCAATTGGAGCAGAAGCCTTATGGTGGAAGGGGACATGCTTCATTTCCTAGTTAGTTTGT